GATGAAGGCCGGATCTCAGTGTGTTTGTGCGGTTCTGAAGAGCTCAGCACCGGTGCGCTGATGTGACGGACACTGGGACGTATAACACAACACACAGATTCTGCTGGCATCACAGTCAAGCACTTGTTGTTGAATCATCATCATCATCATCACAGTCATCATCATCATCATCGTCATCAGGGGAATCGAGCGAACACTTTTCCCGCAGCTTCAGGCTGATCAATCCTCCATACGCTTGTCTTCAGGAAACGGGTGTTCGGGTGTATATATATCTATTCTTTATCAGAAAAAAATTAGGGCTGGGCAATGATTAATTACATCCAAAATAAAAGTTTGTGTTTACATAATATATGTGTGTGTACTGTGTATAATTATTTTGTATATATAAATACACACATGCATGTATATATTTAAGACAAATGTCTTATTTATATATAAAATATTTATATTTATATATAATATAAAAAATTATATACATGCAAATATTTATTAAATATATACATGATGGAGTTTTGGTTCCTTGCCACTGTCGCCTTGCTTTTGGCTTGCTTAGTTGGGAATATTTAATATTCAACAATATTATTGAACTGTGTTGTACTACTTTCATGTTATCACTGTGAAGCTGCTTTGATGCAATCTGTATTGTGAAAAGCGCTATATAAATAAATGTGACTTGACTTGACTTGACATGCATGTATATACACAGTACACATACATATATTATGTAAACACAAACTTTTTATTAATTGTTGCCCAGCACACACAAATATTTTCCTTTATGGAGAAAATTATTGTGATTTTTACTTTCGTGAGTGTATCGCTCCTGTTACAGTTGTGCATGTGGTTTGTTTGAGTCGCGATCAGCCGTTATATGTAAGATGGAGTGTGTGAGAGAGTGTGAGAGTGTGAGAGTGTGTGTGTGTGTGTGTGTGTGTGTGTGTGTGTGTGTGTGTGTGTGTGTGTGTGTGTGTGTGTGTGTGTGTGTGTGTGTGTGTGTGTGTGTGTGTGTGTGTGTGTGTGTGTGTGTGTGTGTGTGTGTGTGCGTTCACTCAAAATCCCCTCCGGACTGATGGCGAGCATCCATCTTTTTTCCATTTGTAAAAGCTCAGATGGCCATGACCTTCTGCAGATCATCGGGCGAAGCAGGAGAGGAGAGAAATGGCTTCACTTTCATTTATTTATGTTTAATGTGCGGCTGCAGGTCCGGCGCTCTGTTTTAGACCACTTAATGCTGGGCCCGATCCATCCGGTCTCCATTAAAGATGCGGTCCCCTCCGGCAGACCCCTGAGAGCCGCTGAAACACGGCCGAGAGCTGCAACACTCGGGAGAGGCTCAGACATGTGCAGATGGCGTATTAAAGTTCCTATTAAACGCATTTGTCAGGCGGTGGGTTTAGCGCTCGCGCGGCCAGGTGTGTTGATTATGGGCTTGTGTAGTTTGTGCCAGTGTGTCGTCTGCCAGAGCCGGAAATCTGGCACTCTCTGGCCGCCCTTCATTTCCCTGTATAATTCAGTATTTAATGTAAAAAAAATGCAATTTGTGCAACATATATACAGGGTTTGACATTATCTTTTTCGCTCACCAGCCACTGTGGCTAGTGGTTTTCACAGGCCACAATTGTGACATCGATACCATAGGGAAAAACTGCCATATAGATATTTTTAATGTTATCTCACAATTGTGGCAGTCGATATAATAGCCTGCTGTCACTTTAAGACCTGAATGAAGTCTATAGTGTGTTATGTGTATGCTAGGCCAAAGAGATGTTTTTAGTCTAGATTTGAACTGACAGAGTGTGTCTGCTTCCCGGACAATGGTGGGAAGACTGTTCCAGAGTTTTGGTGCTAAATAGGAAAAGGATCTCCCGCCTGCAGTCGATTTAGATATTCTAGGTATTATCAACTGGCCGGAGTTTTGAGATCGCAATGCGAATTTTGAGGGAGCCAATGCAGTGTTGACAGAACCGGGCTAATATGGTCATATTTCCTGGTTCTGGTAAGAACTCGAGCTGCTGCGTTTTGGACCAGCTGTAGTTTGTTTATTAAGCGTGCAGGGCAACCACCCAGTAGAGCATTACAGTAATCTAGCCTTGAGGTCATGAACGCATGAACTAACTGTTCCGCATTCGTCAATGAGAGCATATGGCGTAATTTAGATATGTTTTTAAGATGGAAGAATGCGGTTTCACAGATACTAGACACGTGACTTTCAAATGAAAGATTGGTATTTCACAATCTGCTCAGTTACTGGGATTTTCACGCACAACCATTTCTAGGGTTTACAAAGAATGGTGTGAAAAGGGAAAAACATCCAGTATGCGGCAGTCCTGTGGGCGAAAATGCCTTGTTGATGCTAGAGGTCAGAGGAGAATGGGCCGACTGATTCAAGCTGATAGAAGAGCAACTTTGACTGAAATAACCACTCGTTACAACCGAGGTATGCAGCAAAGCATTTGTGAAGCCACAACACGCACAACCTTGAGGCGGATGGGCTACAACAGCAGAAGACCCCACCGGGTACCACTCATCTCCACTACAAATAGGGAAAAGAGGCTACAATTTGCAAGAGCTCACCAAAATTGAACAGTTGAAGACTGGAAAAATGTTGCCTGGTCTGATGAGTCTCGATTTCTGTTGAGACATTCAGATGTTAGAGTCAGAATTTGGCGTAAACAGAATGAGAACATGGATCCATCATGCCTTGTTACCACTGTGCAGGCTGGTGGTGGTGGTGTAATGGTGTGGGGGATGTTTTCTTGGCACACTTTAGGCCCCTTAGTGCCAATTGGGCATCGTTTAAATGCCACGGCCTACCTGAGCATTGTTTCTGACCATGTCCATCCCTTTATGGCCACCACGTACCCATCCTCTGATGGCTACTTCCACCATGTCACAAAGCTCTAATCATTTCAAATTGGTTTCTTGAACATGACAATGAGTTCACTGTACTAAAATGGCCTCCACAGTCACCAGATCTCAACCCAATAGAGCATCTTTGGGATGTGGTGGAACGGGAGCTTCGTGCCCTGGATGTGCATCCCACTAATCTCCATCAACTGCAAGATGCTATCCTATCAATATGGGCCAACATTTCTAAAGAATGCTTTCAGCACCTTGTTGAATCAATGCCACGTAGAATTAAGGCAGTTCTGAAGGTGAAAGGGGGTCAAACACAGTATTAGTATGGTGTTCCTAATAATCCTTTAGGTGAGTGTATATCTGTGTTACTTTAGCACTGTTAACCCAATTACAAACTAAAGTTGCATCAGCCTCCCATGACTGAGTGTCATCATCACCAAACACGCCACATCCAGCCTGCAGACTCCCTTAATTAATGCTGAAGAGTGTGTGTGTGTGTGTGTGTGTGTGTGTGTGTGTGTGTGTGTGTGTGTGTGTGTGTGTGTGTGTGTGTGTGTGTGTGTGTGTGTGTGTGTGTGTGTGTGTGTGTGTGTTTGAGCTGAAGAGAGAGTGTGTTTGAGCTGAAGAGAGAGAGTGTGTGTGTGTGTGTGTGTTGAGCTGGAGAGAGAGTGTGTGTGTTTGAGCTGAAGAGAGTGTGTGTGTGTTGAGCTGAAGAGAGAGAGAGTGTGTTTGAGCTGAAGAGAGTGTGTGTGTGTTGAGCTGAAGAGAGAGAGAGTGTGTTTGAGCTGAAGAGAGTGTGTGTTTGAGCTGAAGAGAGTGTGTGTGTGTTGAGCTGAAGAGAGAGAGAGTGTGTTTGAGCTGAAGAGAGTGTGTGTTTGAGCTGAAGAGAGAGTGTGCGTGTGTGTGTTGAGCTGAAGAGAGTGTGTGTGTGTTTGAGCAGTCGAAGCTCAGGTCTGTCCCAGAAGTGCCGGCGCCTGAGGCAAACGCTCCCAGAGACGGTGTGTGTGTGTGTGTGTGTGTGTGTGTGTCGTGGGGAAGAGACAGTCAGTTCCAGTTCCCCGTGACAACAGCTCTCAGGAGTGTGCATTAGTGGGAACGAGACGAGTGTTTAAGGGCCATACTGTCTCCTGACTAACTGGGAGCCGTGCGTTGGTTTAATGGGATCTTGAGTTCCAGGATGAGAATGACCTGTTGATGCACTCCAGGAGAAAGACACCGTTAAACCTATTGTGACCAACACACCAATGCTGGGAAATCTGTTTTCAATTTACAACTTTCTTATTCAACGTATTTGATCAAAAGGCTGTGACTAATGAAATAAATGTATGCCTTCTATCATGATGCACACTTTAACCCTCTGTTGCTCCGCGGCCATCTTCTTTCTTTCTTTTTTTCATCGGAATGGTACGAGACTCGGTAAAGCTTTTGGCACTTGCTGTGTGAACACACACAAAAAAAATCAGGGACATGATTTGAACAGGTTTAATGGTCCTGAAAGCAACAGTCCCACTTGTGTTTCTCACGGTCAGAAACGAGCGCACTGGAAATGAATGGAGGGTTAGGAAAAAATTGAAAAAATTTAGATTTCACATAAAAAAAATTAAAATAGTATTTTTGTGTATTTTTAATAACAATAAACATAAAATTCTGTAACTTTTTTAAGTTCACTTTTTAAAACTTTTTTCACGTCAGCAATAATCTGCCAAGTGTCGTCTTTAAAAAGAGATCAAACCAGTCTGTGCTCTAAAGCGTTCAAGATTTACCACAGTTTAAGTTGGAAATTTGATTTTCAGGTCTATGCTGAACATGAATAAATGGATTAGAAATACAGCGTAAAATCTCATAAAATCATAAAATCTCCTTAAAATACAAAATATTAAATAAAAAAAACATTATGAAACTAAAATATAGTACATTCCTTTCATTCAAAAAAAACGCGAAGAGCACCAGAGAAAGATTGAGACTGGGATCTCTAATTTGTTACACTTTTTATTTAAATTTCAGTTATGTTATAATATTTTATTATTTTGATGTTTTTTATTATTATTCTTTCAAGCTTTGGCAATATTGTATTGTTTATAGTCATGCCAATAAAGCAATTGTTTGAATTTGAGTGTAATTGATGTTGTGTTGTGATGAAGGAAACTGGCGAAGAAGCGCAAGGAGACGCTGAGCAACACGAGGCAGGAGATGACGGTGATGGTGAACTCCATGGACAAGAGCTACGCCGAGCAGGGCACCAGCTGTGACGAGGCCATCTCCTTCATGGACACACACAACCTCAACGCAAGACGTGAGTCGCATGATCACAGCACCCCAACAAAATCATTCTGCCATCTTATTACTCAAACTCAGTCTTCTAAAGACTATTAGTGATTATATGAGGTCAGACTGAGTCGTGTTTCACTCAAAATCTCATTCACATTCAATTCAAACGTGAGGAACCTGATGCGTAAGATCCCTGATGTCAGTCTGAATGGAATTAAACATAAACATGAATGAGGTTTTAGGATGAGAGTGTGTTTGTGTTGGTGGGATTCAGCAGATTCTGATCTCTCGTCTGCCCCGCCCACCTGCTGAACTCAGCCAATCAGAGCTCGTCTCTCTTCCCGCCAACTCTAGCGTCGGTCAACTCTCCGGTTCAGGACTGAACTAACATAAATGAAATCCGTTTGACTTTTTAACAATTTTTTTTGTTTTATTTTTTCTATACTTTATAGTTAAATTTTAATTCGTAAAAATCTGAATCAGAATGAGCTTTATTCGCCAAGTGTGCGCAAACGCACGGTTTTTATCCACAACAAATCATATTCATCATATTCCAAAAAACGATGTCTAATCAATTTATTTATTTTTATATATTATTATTATTATTATATATATTTATCAAAAATTACTTAATACAATCAATTCCATTTTTATTCCATTTTCTCCCACACGGCCGAAATCTTGAGGCTCTAAACGAGTCAATATTATGATTGATTGAGATTTACTGACAAAACAGCCTTAAAACCGAACGATCTCGGCCGTATGTGAAGCATCCAGTGAAGCGACAGCCTCTTTGATCACATGACAGCGTTATTAAATATTGCAGGAGCGTCCCTCGGCGTGACTGGCGTGTCGCTCTGTGAAGCGGCCACAAACAGCGATAAATAAATCAACACGGCTCTTATGCTCGTGCGTGACCTTATCCTGCGGTGTGTGTGAGTGACAGACGGGTCACTGCTGTCACACACACACCGAGAGAAACGCTTCATCATTCACACACACTGCCAGAGTGAACGTGAGCGGTGAACACAAGTGTGTGTGGATCATTACAGGGTTGTGTATCCATGATACTGCGTTTACACACGCCGTCCATAACACTGTTTTTAAGCTCAAAATAACCACAAAGCTCATGTTTGATATACAGTCAGACCAACATCACTCAGACTCCTTTCTCACATTATCACAGTTTATTCGCTACAGTTTAGAAAATATATGACAAGAAATATGATATTTGACTGGTTTTGTCCGTCCTTCTGTTAGACTCTCACACATGAATTATGTTGAATATCTGTCAGCTGGTAAATTTAACTACACAATTAGATAATACCAGTTTAGCTCAACCAGTGACCAAGCAATGCTTCATGTTGTTCAGTGTGTGTGTAAAAAGAGCATTAGCAGTTACAGAAAACACACTTCAGCAGAACATGATCAGCTCAAAGTGGAGGAATCATTATTGGCCCCGAATATGTCACTGGTAGTCACTGTATGAAGAATATTTGGGTGTAATATGTCACAGTTTACTTTATTTTGCTCTCCTCACTTACATAAATGAACTATAGTGTCCTGCACACACAGTATCAAAAATGATATCTGGTGTCTGGATAATGTTTGGTTTGACTGTATATAATAATGTTAGTGTCGTGAACTCAAATATACTCTTTATTTGCTTATGACATCTTGCTTGCTTGTTTATTGTGAAAGCTGTGTCGTCGCCGTCCTCGTTCACCGTGAAGACTAACACACTGAGCACATCCGTGCCGAACTCCTACTATCCAGGTAAAGCACGTCAGATCGTGTGTGTGTGTGTGTGTGTGTGTGTGTGTGTAACGGCTCCGCTTCTGTCACTCCTGAAACCCCATGAAGCCACCGTGTGTGTGTGTGTGTGTGTGTGTTCGTGTGTGTTCTTGTGTGTTCTTCTGGCTTTGAGCTCCTCTGAATGCCACACGCATACGGATAAAAATATCTCTTTCAGCACATAAACCATTCAAAAGTTTTCTAGTTTTTTTTGTTTTTATAACAGTATCATTTAGACATTTTATGTGCAATAATATTTGACCTGTCCTTATTTATTACTAATTATTGCACTGTTTTTATTCTTGCATTGTCTATTCTATTTTTTTTGCTGTTTATTGTCGAAGCTGCCTAGACACACACCCTAGTTTCTAATGTTTTCATTGGTTAATGTTTTTATCTCGTGTTTTGACCGAGACCTTAGTACTTCGTTTCATTCCTACATGTAAAAATGTGTGTGGAATGACAATAAAAGAGCCTTGAACTTGAAAAGTTTGGGGTCCGGCATTAAAAGACGTGTAATGTTATGCAGCTCAACTGTTTTCAACACTGATAATACTCATAACTGAGCATCAGATCCTCATATTAGAGTGATTTCTGGAGGATCATGTGACACTGAAGACTGGAGTAATGATGCTGAACATCAGCTTTGATCACAGGAATAAATTACACTTTACTGTATATTCACATAGAGAACAGCTGATATGGAGTAATATTTCACATTTTTACTGTATTTTTGATACCGACCCCAAACTTTTGAATGGTAGTGTAAACATTATGGGCAAGGAAGCGAACTATTAACATGTAATCAATTTAACTAACTGTGTGCTGGAGTCTGTATATGATATCTAATATCTGTGTGTTTGCACGAGTTCTGTCTCCTGTTTAACTTCCCTAATGCAGAACTAACTGTCGCTGGATCTCTTCTCTCTTCTCTGTAATCTCTGCTCATCTTTGGGCCGGTGAACAGACCCGTTTGTGCCGACCGCCATCTTAGGTGAGGAAACCTCCTCTCTCTTTCACACATGATGACGATGAGAATACACTGCAAAACAGGAGCGTCTTCCTCAGTGTTTCTGTCTCGCTTTCCAGAACACACATCTAAACATTCTTAAATCAAGATTCATTTACTGGAGAAGCACAAAGACTGAAGATGATTCTTTTCTGACCACACGGGCAGATATTTATTCTTGTTTTATTACACGGCTCTGTGGAATACTTGATTCTGATTGGCCAATCGCACATCCAGCGTTATACTATTCCCAGATAACAACAGAGAACAGAAACTCAGGCTCATCCGGGTCACTGGAGTCAGCAGCGCTATACGCTCGCTAGGAACGGTTTTTCTTCGTGAAAGTTTTGCTTTTGGTGAGCTAATAAAATATTAAAACTCAGTTATTTAATTATGCTTATCTCCGAGATTATTAATGTGTTGAAAAGCTGTGTAATAAGAGTTATGACTGAATACCGTATCTCTTAAATGTTCGTCTAGTTTGAACTGATCTCTCCACGGAAGCTTTAAAGAGCCAATAATATATTTCAACTCGGATCAATATTTTGTGTCTAATTATTTACATTAAGCGTCCTGACACGTCACGTTAGTCGAGCTCGCATCAGTGACTCTCAGCTGATCCTCTACCTGTAGGAATACGACGTCTATCACTGTACTCATATAAGCTCCTGCAGTATTATCAGCAGTTCCTCTCGTTTCTCAGGAGCCGATTACCCTCCTCCCTCCCCAGCTCCTCTCGTTTCTCAGGAGCTGATTACCCTCCTCCCTCCCCAGCTCCTCTCGTTTCTCAGGAGCCAATTACCCTCCTCCCTCCCCAGCTCCTCTCGTTTCTCAGGAGCCGATTACCCTCCTCCCTCCCCAGCTCCTCTCGTTTCTCAGGAGCCGATTACCCTCCTCCCTCCCCAGCTCCTCTCGTTTCTCAGGAGCTGATTACCCTCCTCCCTCCCCAGTTCCTCTCTTTTCTCAGGAGCCGATTACCCTCCTCCCTCCCCAGTTACTCTCGTTTCTCAGTAGCCGATTACCCTCCTCCCTCCTCAGTTACTCTCGTTTCTCAGGAGCCGATTACCCTCCTCCCTCCCCAGTTACTCTCGTTTCTCAGTAGCCGATTACCCTCCTCCCTCCCCAGTTACTCTCGTTTCTCAGGAGCCGATTACCCTCCTCCCTCCCCAGTTACTCTCGTTTCTCAGGAGCTGATTACCCTCCTCCCTCCCCAGTTCCTCTCGTTTCTCAGGAGCCGATTACCCTCCTCCCTCCCCAGCTCCTCTCGTTTCTCAGGAGCTGATTACCCTCCTCCCTCCCCAGCTCCTCTCGTTTCTCAGGAGCCAATTACCCTCCTCCCTCCCCAGCTCCTCTCGTTTCTCAGGAGCCGATTACCCTCCTCCCTCCCCAGCTCCTCTCGTTTCTCAGGAGCCGATTACCCTCCTGCCTCCCCAGCTCCTCTCGTTTCTCAGGAGCCGATTACCCTCCTGCCTCCCCAGCTCCTCTCGTTTCTCAGGAGCTGATTACCCTCCTCCCTCCCCAGCTCCTCTCGTTTCTCAGGAGCCGATTACCCTCCTCCCTCCCCAGCTCCTCTCGTTTCTCAGGAGCCGATTACCCTCCTCCCTCCCCAGTTACTCTCGTTTCTCAGGAGCTGATTACCCTCCTCCCTCCCCAGTTACTCTCGTTTCTCAGGAGCCGATTACCCTCCTCCCTCCCCAGCTCCTCTCGTTTCTCAGGAGCCGATTACCCTCCTCCCTCCCCAGTTACTCTCGTTTCTCAGGAGCCGATTACCCTCCTCCCTCCCCAGTTCCTCTTGTTTCTCAGGAGCTGATTACCCTCCTCCCTCCCCAGTTCCTCTTGTTTCTCAGGAGCCGATTACCCTCCTCCCTCCCCAGCTCCTCTCGTTTCTCAGGAGCCGATTACCCTCCTCCCTCCCCAGTTACTCTCGTTTCTCAGGAGCTGATTACCCTCCTCCCTCCCCAGTTACTCTCGTTTCTCAGGAGCCGATTACCCTCCTCCCTCCCCAGCTCCTCTCGTTTCTCAGGAGCCGATTACCCTCCTCCCTCCCCAGTTACTCTCGTTTCTCAGGAGCCGATTACCCTCCTCCCTCCCCAGCTCCTCTCGTTTCTCAGGAGCCGATTACCCTCCTCCCTCCCCAGTTACTCTCGTTTCTCAGGAGCCGATTACCCTCCTCCCTCCCCAGTTACTCTCGTTTCTCAGGAGCCGATTACCCTCCTCCCTCCCCAGTTACTCTCGTTTCTCAGGAGCCGATTACCCTCCTCCCTCCCCAGTTACTCTCGTTTCTCAGGAGCCGATTACCCTCCTCCCTCCCCAGTTACTCTCGTTTCTCAGGAGCCGATTACCCTCCTCCCTCCCCAGTTACTCTCGTTTCTCAGGAGCCGATTACCCTCCTCCCTCCCCAGTTACTCTCGTTTCTCAGGAGCCGATTACCCTCCTCCCTCCCCAGCTCCTCTCGTTTCTCAGGAGCCGATTACCCTCCTCCCTCCCCAGCTCCTCTCGTTTCTCAGGAGCCGATTACCCTCCTCCCTCCCCAGCTCCTCTCGTTTCTCAGTAGCCGATTACCCTCCTCCCTCCCCAGCTCCTCTCGTTTCTCAGGAGCCGATTACCCTCCTCCCTCCCCAGCTCCTCTCGTTTCTCAGGAGCCGATTACCCTCCTCCCTCCCCAGCTCCTCTCGTTTCTCAGGAGCCGATTACCCTCCTCCCTCCCCAGCTCCTCTCGTTTCTCAGGAGCCGATTACCTTCCTCCCTCCCCAGTTCCTCTCGTTTCTCAGGAGCCGATTACCCTCCTCCCTCCCCAGCTCCTCTCGTTTCTCAGGAGCTGATTACCCTCCTCCCTCCCCAGCTCCTCTCGTTTCTCAGGAGCTGATTACCCTCCTCCCTCCCCAGTTCCTCTCTTTTCTCAGGAGCCGATTACCCTCCTCCCTCCCTAGCTCCTCTCGTTTCTCAGGAGCCGATTACCCTCCTCCCTCCCCAGTTACTCTCGTTTCTCAGGAGCTGATTACCCTCCTCCCTCCCCAGCTCCACTCGTTTCTCAGGGGCTGATTTCCCTCCTCCCTCCCCAGTTACTCTCGTTTCTTAGGAGCCGATTATCCTCCTCCCTCCCCAGTTACTCTCGTTTCTCAGGAGCCGATTACCCTCCTCCCTCCCCAGTTACTCTCGTTTCTCAGGAGCCGATTACCCTCCTCCCTCCCCAGCTCCTCTCGTTTCTCAGGAGCCGATTACCCTCCTCCCTCCCCAGCTCCACTCGTTTCTCAGGAGCCGATTACCCTCCTCCCTCCCCAGTTACTCTCGTTTCTCAGGAGCCGATTACCCTCCTCCCTCCCCAGTTACTCTCGTTTCTCAGGAGCCGATTACCCTCCTCCCTCCCCAGTTACTCTCGTTTCTCAGGAGCCGATTACCCTCCTCCCTCCCCAGTTACTCTCGTTTCTCAGGAGCCGATTACCCTCCTCCCTCCCCAGTTACTCTCGTTTCTCAGGAGCCGATTACCCTCCTCCCTCCCCAGCTCCTCTCGTTTCTCAGGAGCCGATTACCCTCCTCCCTCCCCAGCTCCTCTCGTTTCTCAGGAGCCGATTACCCTCCTCCCTCCCCAGCTCCTCTCGTTTCTCAGTAGCCGATTACCCTCCTCCCTCCCCAGCTCCTCTCGTTTCTCAGGAGCCGATTACCCTCCTCCCTCCCCAGCTCCTCTCGTTTCTCAGGAGCCGATTACCCTCCTCCCTCCCCAGCTCCTCTCGTTTCTCAGGAGCCGATTACCCTCCTCCCTCCCCAGCTCCTCTCGTTTCTCAGGAGCCGATTACCTTCCTCCCTCCCCAGTTCCTCTCGTTTCTCAGGAGCCGATTACCCTCCTCCCTCCCCAGCTCCTCTCGTTTCTCAGGAGCTGATTACCCTCCTCCCTCCCCAGCTCCTCTCGTTTCTCAGGAGCTGATTACCCTCCTCCCTCCCCAGTTCCTCTCTTTTCTCAGGAGCCGATTACCCTCCTCCCTCCCTAGCTCCTCTCGTTTCTCAGGAGCCGATTACCCTCCTCCCTCCCCAGTTACTCTCGTTTCTCAGGAGCTGATTACCCTCCTCCCTCCCCAGCTCCACTCGTTTCTCAGGGGCTGATTTCCCTCCTCCCTCCCCAGTTACTCTCGTTTCTTAGGAGCCGATTATCCTCCTCCCTCCCCAGTTACTCTCGTTTCTCAGGAGCCGATTACCCTCCTCCCTCCCCAGTTACTCTCGTTTCTCAGGAGCCGATTACCCTCCTCCCTCCCCAGCTCCTCTCGTTTCTCAGGAGCCGATTACCCTCCTCCCTCCCCAGCTCCACTCGTTTCTCAGGAGCCGATTACCCTCCTCCCTCCCCAGCTCCTCTCGTTTCTCAGTAGCCGATTACCCTCCTCCCTCCCCAGCTCCACTCGTTTCTCAGGAGCCGATTACCCTCCTCCCTCCCCAGCTCCTCTCGTTTCTCAGTAGCCGATTACCCTCCTCCCTCCCCAGCTCCTCTCGTTTCTCAGGAGCCGATTACCCTCCTCCCTCCCCAGCTCCACTCGTTTCTCAGGAGCCGATTACCCTCCTCCCTCCCCAGTTACTCTCGTTTCTCAGGAGCCGATTAACCTCCTCCCTCCCCGGTTAGTCTCGTTTCTCAGGAGCCGATTACCCTCCTCCCTCCCCAGTTACTCTCGTTTCTCAGGAGCTGATTACCCTCCTCCCTCCCCAGCTCCACTCGTTTCTCAGGAGCCGATTACCCTCCTCCCTCCCCAGCTCCTCTCGTTTCTCAGGAGCCGATTACCCTCCTCCCTCCCCAGCTCCACTCGTTTCTCAGGAGCCGATTACCCTCCTCCCTCCCCAGCTCCTCTCGTTTCTCAGTAGCCGATTACCCTCCTCCCTCCCCAGCTCCTCTCGTTTCTCAGGAGCCGATTACCCTCCTCCCTGCCCAGCTCCTCTCGTTTCTCAGGAGCCGATTACCCTCCTCCCTCCCCAGCTTCTCTCGTTTCTCAGGAGCCGATTACCCT